GCAGGAGCTGCATTTTTGAACATTAAGCTAAACTGAAAACCACAAACCCTTAGGTAAATTTATTAGGTGGGTTTTCCCTGGCACAGCTGGATCAGCTCCAGTCCAATCATGCAAGTTTACTGAGAAGACAAAAGTGTTAATTTTAATTATGTGAAGCAAAGGAACCATCTAGTCTGGCCAATTTCTGAACTTAAGGCTTTTTTGAAACGTGCGTAACTCATTTCAGCACCAGTCCAAGCTGATAATACAATGGGCTGTGTAAAGTGGTAACTGCAGGATGGCTCCTGATAGCTTTTTAAGGCTGGTCTTTGTTGCAGAACTACTGATATGGACTTACCATGAAGGACCTGCCTGTTTAATCCACAACTTTTCAAACTACCTGCCAGCAGTTCAGTGCATTCAGCAGCCAAACATCCCAGGATGCTCATCAGCTGGACTTGCTGATTTGTTGCTATCCGTTCTTTCAAGTGTTCCCTTATCTGCTTTACATCAACAGCTTGGGTGCCAAGATGCTCATTACTTCCTAATGGTCCATATTCCATTTCTATATTTTTCTTCTTAAAGACCAATTAAAAAAAAAGTTAAGTAGCTCAGCCATTTTAGCCTCACCATTGATTCCAGCTTGCTCCTAATTTATTAATGGGCTTACCTTCTCTCTCGTATTTCTTTCCCCCGATATACTTGGAAGAGCTCTCATTATTTATTGTGGCCCTTTGGGCCAACATTAACTCATTCTGTTTCCTACCTACCCTGAAAGCTGGAAGGGTTTCTCCATTTGCCTGCTGGCTTCTTCCCCATTGCTGGATGAGTTCAGCCATCTAAAGGTTTTCAAATGTGAAAACTGAGGAAGTTCTGTATCATTCCTATTCAAGTCACACCAACTCCAGCAAGCCTCTGAGATTAAAAACTGCATGTTGCAGTATCTCAAGAACACAGAAATGACACAGTATTTCAGGAGCAGAGCAGTTTAGCTAATCCAGATTCTGTTGCCATTACTTGAGAAACAAGTGCTTTGGAGAAAAGCCCAAGAAACCTGACAAAATTGGAATGAAAATAACTTCACTACAGAAAACTCCATCAGCTTCAACCAGAACAAAATACAGGGGTCCAGCATTACAGGGTGTCTCGAGGGAGTCAGGCATGTAACTTCCCTGGTTTTGCTCCGTATGGGAGAATCCCAACCTGTAAGGACAGTTGCATTGGCTGCCAGGATTTAGTGGATTTTCTCTCTTTTCAGATGGGCACATTATTCACAAGACTAAAGCAGGGAAATCCACTCCTTCCTGGCCACAATCAAGTTTCACATCAATTAGGCAAATTGACATGAGGTTTAACATTTTCCCACTTATGTTTCCAGAAGTGCTCTGAAAACAACCCCTCAAATGGATATCCAAGCTAACCTTGCCCTGTAAAGCAACTTCAGGAAAAGCTTTAGAAGGTAAAAGTGTTAACCAGAAAGGCAGAAGTATGATCAGTGGTAGATGAGCCAAACGCAAAATGTCTGTAAGAATAAAAAGGGACGTCTTCAAACAAAATACATCACACAGGCACTGAATGAACTCACAAATCAGCCATAAGATGAGCCATTTACAAGCCTATTCTAGAGAAAAAATAATTCTACAAAGATTTCAGGTGCCTGTATTGTAGAGAACATGGAAAAAAAAGATGCTTATGGAGGTGCAAATAAAAGGTATAGGTGTGCACAAGTGCCTGTATGTACATCCGTGTGCAGCAGAATGTTTCTCCACTGGTGAATGTGCTTACACACACACAGATCTTCTGCTTGCTCATTACTCCTCCTCCACCCCCTGGGTCTGCAGTAGTGACACAGAAAAGGCTCCTAAATACACTTTGCCACTTTACCACGAGTCACTCTCAGCTATACACAGACTCTGCTCTCATCGTGACTCAGATTTAGAGCAAGAAGACTGAAGAATAGTTCACAATTGTGCTTACTCCCAGTTTTATCTATTGTTTTTCAAGTATCATCTGCAGAAGCAGGAGCGGAACCCAGTCAGCAGGAATGTTAATCCCAAGGGAACACCAATCCCTGGGGATAGCTAAGGCCCTGCTTCCTGTTTAATGAACATGCAGTGACTGGTAAGGCAAATTGTGTGTCTGCATTTCCTATGAATATCCCTGACCATCTATTCCCAGCTCTCTTTTCTATTTAAAGTTGGCATGATGGATGCTCAGAGAGATCCTGGATGCTCATCCCTAACAGAGAGTACAAGTATCAATTCTCCTGAGATAATTCAATTTATCCATTATCATCATCCGTAGCAGAGTAGCACCTAGATGCCATATAACGCTGAATGGACACATACTAAGAGGTTGCTCCTATCCAGAAAAAAAAAGTCTGAACAAACAAAAGGGAGGAAGGAAGGAATGAAATCCAAAGCACAGGGATGGAAAGCTTCCCTCTCCTTGCCCAGTCACACCCAGCAAGTCAATGGCAGAGCTACAAAGGCAGGATTTCTGATCCCCACTCCAAATCAACAAGTATAATGTGAACAGCTAAAGGCTTAAGTAGCAGTCTTTGGGTATGCACACTCAAAACTTGTTACCAGAACAGGGCAGATTACCAACTTCCCCTCCCTGATGCTTCTGTTCTTTATTGTATCAGCACTGGATGGCATAGAAGCTCCAAATATAGCAGCTCAAACCTCTTGCCTATTCCCTACTTGCCGGCAAAATGCTTGTTTTGATATTTGCAGGAGTGAATTAATTTGGTATTCCCGATACCATCTCAGACACACCCCAATGACACTTACACCCACAGCCACAGCAGCTGATAACATCATCAGCTGACTTCTCAGCTCAGCAGCAGTCTTTTTTCCCCTGTTTCTAGGATTATGAAATACATATTTTGTGTGGCTGGCTAATGCCAAAGTTACAAAATCCATGTAATTAAGATTAATTTAAGAGCTGGATTGGATCGACATGTGGCATCCACCCAGTAATTAAAAGAAACACTTTGAATTTCAAGCAGCTGCCTTAATATTTCACCCTGTGCTGGCATCATTCACCTCCATTGGCAAAGCAGGATGCCAGTGCCCAGGTGTGAGAGGCTGGGGGCCTTTGGGTAAGGAAGGCTGCTGCATCAGGAGTCAGATGCCCTCTTCTGGAAGGTGTGCACATACTACCCATACTGGACTACTCAATTCAGTGCTGGCATGAATAAATGTATGTATATCCCTGGCTAAATACTCACAAACGAAATCTATGCACATATACACAAACTTACATACATATGACACACATTTCCAATGTCAAACATGCTATACATAGGTGGTTACCTACAATGATGACATTTGACATATTCTATGAATGTTTATGAGTTATTTCTGAAAGTCTGGGCTTTTGACTACACATACATATGTGTATCAGCTCTAGAGAAGAGCATGGATCATCCATATGTGCTAGATTTTATGAGCCACGCACAGACAACACTGAGGTAGGTGTTCAAAGTTGTAAATAAAGTATTCCAACCCAGTGGAAAACACAGTGACCAGCCTTCTGTGCAAGTTCATGTGGATGGCCTTGCATGTTCTCCGAGGGTCCTTCCTGCCCAGCTCATCTCTCCATAAAATCTGATCACTGTTATTAATTATTTGCACTGTCCTAGAACCTTAAGTCTTCATCAGTCTGACATTGTCTTTGTTGTATAAACAAGGAGGGGAATCTACTAACTGCCCTGAAGAGCTTACAGTCTATAGTACAGTGTTTAAACCACACTGTACGCTGAAACGTAAAACTTCAGGTCCCAAGATTACCTTTCATTTGGAACGAGTCCATTTACCCTTTGGGAACAAAATGAGAAATAACACAAGATTTGGAATAACTTAGTTTTTCAATTTGCCTATGTTGATCACCTCATGCATACACGGGAATATGAACAAAGATACGTATATGCACCTTGGGACATACTGATGTGTATGCATATAAGCAGATTAATTCAAAAAGGAAGTGAATTTTGATAAGATGATGTACATGCACATAAAGTGTGTCAAATGTACAAGAATATGCATACATACAAGGAGATTACACATATATGACCATATGAGCATGTCTATGAAGGTCCTTAAGCAAACTTGTCAGAGAGAACACAGACTGTGTATAAACATCTGGAAAGATGCATAAGACCAAATGTTTTTTCACTTCAAAAAAGTTAAGAATCTTTTCCAAATCCAGATTTTCTCTTGGATTCTACAGCTGCTGAGTCTATTTGTTTTATGTATTTTTTATAATCTGAATTGCTCTCATGCAAAGACATCATTTTACTGCATTTAGAACAAAACCTCTCCCTCTTCCCTTTATGACAGGGTCACATCTTTGGAGGAAAAAAGGCCACCCCAGCACAGCACGCTGCTCTCTTCAGCACCTCCTGTTGGGTGCAGTTAGACTGGTCTCTTCAAATACATCCCTCCCATCATTTAACCCATGGCCTGTGGCTGAATCAGAGATCAATAAGTCCCTCATAACAGCTTCTGTTGGATGAGATGTAAACCAGCCCCTGTCTTTCTGCCTTATTCTCTCTGTATCATTCCATCAGCACTCAGTGCTGTCTGAGTACAAAGCTTTGATCAAACCAGTAGTTTTCCTTCCAGACATCATCATGATCCATATCCAGCTATCCTTCACCAGGGCAGGCTCCAACACCCCTTATTAGTGTATTTGCAGAACTGTGGCAAGTACAGGCTGGATAAGAACTTGTATATATTTAATATAATCTAAATAACCGAGCAAGTACTGAATTTAGTTTAGTTTACAGATTGGTTATTCCCAATTCTATTACACATCCTTGTGTAATAGAATTAATAGTGTATTAATAGAAGAGCACGCTTCTGTTTATAGTGTATTAATTACACTATTAATAGAAATATAATAAAATACTACACTTTTTTACTCTCTCCTGACAGAGGTAATCCAGTCACATTTCTGATGCTAAAGCAAGTCACAAATACAAGAATCAGATAGAAAGGCAAGTATAACCTTACCTGTCTGTGAAACACAGCCGTATCTGGAGTGCAGTACAGCAGATGTTCAACAGAGTATGGCACAACTGTGGTCCAGCATGTCTGCAATTTAAAGGAAGAATGTGGTTAACATGTTGTCCTGTACCAACTCTAAATCAGTTAGCAGACTTAAATAAAAATAAGCATATCTGTATTTTGGCAGCTTATGCATAAAAACAGGGTAGGGGCAAAAGGACTTGTCTGAGGTTATCAGCAAGTGATCCAGCAGTAGTTAGAAGTAGAATGTCGAATTAAGGAGCAATGCAGCATTGTCTACTTTTCCAGCACCTCTGCTCAGTTATACTTAGGAGTACCATGAGATCTTTACCACCCAGAGATGACCATAAGGTCACCCAAATGACCCTGCAGAAGCTGCTGTAACTAATAACCACCACAAGTTTCCATGGTGAGGATTAGAAGACAGCCACCTCTTCTGACAGTAGCAGATCTCCTCCCTTCCCATCGACAGGAAGCCTACCTGCACTTGAGGCCAGGGCCCTGCAGCAGGTTTGGAGGTGTCAGTGTACTCTACATGTGTTCTCATTCTTAGGGAAAATGTTCATGATTATTTCATTTTGTGGCAGTAATGGAAAATACATTTTAGTGCTTGTGTTCTGCATTTGCAATTCATGTTCCCATACATGATTACATTAAGTCTGTGTTCTGTCATTTTTGATGAATGTAGCTTGTTTTCTGTAAAAAACAGACTCTGGGATGGAAAGTGACAGAAGTGAAGCTGTAACAAAGGATGATCAATTTTTTATGGCCAGCACCAAATGCAGGGGAAGTCCCTGAATGTCTCTCTGAGGCTGGGGACCCTTCAGTCACAGGCTGAAGTATGACCCGTTCCTGTCACCATACTGCTTCTGGCAGTCACAGGGCAACAGTGGCTAATACTGCTTTCTTCTTTTGCCAAAGTTGATAAACTAGCTTGTCATTAATAGGTCAGTGGCTGAGAGCAATTTGGCTTCTGCAAACAAACGTGCACAGGTAAAAAGCAAGCAGCACAGGGTTGCTTTCACTCACTTATTAGTACAGTAACATCTATGATCCTCAAATACATTGTGCTGAATAACAGAGACCCTGGAGCAGGGACTGTCACCCCCAAAGAAACAGAAGGAGGAGGAAAAAAAGGCATGAGAAAGGGAAGTGATTTACTCAAAGATAACTCCTGGAGGCTCCATTGGAGATTATCAGATAGCTGCACTAAGGTGACAACCCAAAGGACTTACTCAACTTCCCAGTGACATCAGGTTGAAAAACCAGAGGGATGCAGGTCTGGCATTCTCCTGAAGGTTTCAGCTGCTCCTGTTCAGACTGAGGCCCTGAGTAAGAAAAATTAATCCCCTGTATTTGTAGGGGCAAAGCGTTCCGCTCCAAAACCTGGACTGTGTTGGCTTTGTTCAGATACTCATGAGCCAAATCTCGATCTCTGAGACTCATCAGTAACAATCTTGAAGTTGAGGAACTGACAGTAGAGTTTTCCTGCTTCACACAAGCTGAGGATAAGGCCTCTTGACACACACAACTTGAGCAGATTCTGCTGTTCAGAATTTTTACTCAGGCTCCAGTGGAAGAAGTTGAGGGGCTGCTGGATCTGCTTCTGCCCCCCCCTCCCCCGGGACATGTGCTCACCATAAGCAGATGGTTTCAGAGATTAAGTTCTAAGGAGGCATTAGCAGGAATATCTGCACACAGCACCCGGCAGCTGCCTGTGCTCACACCTGTTCTGAGTTTCACAGCTTTCAAAGAATCAGTGTTCAAGGCTTTTTTGCCCTTTCCTTGTTTGGGAAATAGAAGCTTTCCGGGCAAATGGAGAGCTGACTTCTACACACACGCAGGGGTTTCCTCCCCTTTGCAACCAGATTCCCTGGAGCTGCACCTTAGTCCAGATTTTTGGCTCTCATAGGCTCTGAAATAGAATCAAGCTATTTTCCTAATCCAGAAATTACAGTAACAAAGAAGGCTGCATCTTAGGTAGAAGTCAAAAGCCCTGAGTACACTCACAACTGTTCTTTACCTTTAAATACTAAAGAAAATGACTGGATCACAACTAGTAATCCTAGTGCAATCCTACTGACCCATTCACCACACTCAGTGTGTTTCTTTGGCCATGTTTCTCCTGATCATCAAATTTAACTCCAACAGATCAACAAGAAAAGTGGCAGCAGGTAGCACTTGGGGGCTCTAACAGTGCTCTCAGGCTCCTGGGCACGTGGTTAAAGTATCTAACACCAGGTTATGCACTGCTGAAGATGGTGTCTTGTGACATACGGTATCACTGAATGAAGCTGAAGGTGCTGAGCTTGGATCACTTTTTACAGATAACTGGAAAGAGATCTTCCTTCATAAGAGGAATTCAGGCACAGTATAATCTGGCACCTGAAAATGCAGCCAGTTCATGTCAGCAACAACAAAATCATCAGCAAAGCAACCATGCCAGAATTGTGTCCCTGGTTTAGCCATACTCTCCAGGTGTTTGCCATCAAAATCGGGTATTTCACAGCCTACCGCAGGATCCAAGTTGCCACACAACAGACAGTAAAAGTTATGTACATACAATAATGACCATTTGATTCATTCATGTGTACCTGGCTGTGGGAAGCTAGGAGATGAATAGCCATCCTTGAGTATTCCTCATGTATAAATAGAATTCCTAGTGCACATAAGCACTTACCAATGCACCTAGTATTCCTCAGAGCTAGTGTTGATGTGCTTGGGTGCACGTGCTCACTACTATGTCAGTACACACAATTCTCTGTATGGTAGCACTGCACGTGCCATCTCCTGTTCTGGTAACCGAAGCAACAGTCTGGTAACATTCAAAAACCCAACCTGCAGATAGTGGTGAGTCTCCATCACCATGTTTGGAATTAAAGATGTCTATCCAAGGTGATCCATAGCCCTTTCCTCAGGCATAGTGTAACCCCCACCCTCTTCTATAGCAGACAGCAGGAATAGCGTTAGTCTTCACTCCCTCTCCTACCCACATGATCCAGTGAGATATAAACATGAAGGGGATGCTGCTGGTAGCCAAACACATTCTAGGCAAAGGCACAAGGATCAAATAAGAAAAAAAAGGGATAGAAGCACTAAACAGAAATGAAAGAAAAAGGAAGTCGGGCTAGTACAAGAAAGCAGAAAGCAAGCAAAAGGTCGGGGTGGAGGTGGAGAAATTTAGACTTCATAGAGCCAGAAAAAAGTAATGAATGTGGAGAGCACAAAGATGCCTCACTTGCCCATGGCATCGGGCCACTCGCTATCCCCCCGGCCCAGGCACTCCTCACTGCTGTGCCAGCAGCGCTCATTGTTCATTAGCAACGTGCCATCTGCCTGCACCAGGGCCAAAGCATCAACCTCGGCACTCAGTAGGGATCTGCTGGTGGCACCTGTCGGGACACTCCTCGGATACCAGCGGCTTTGCACTGCACACACTTGTGCTCAACACGCTCTGCCCCTCCGCACCCCCCGCAGGGGGCGCCGCGCTCCGGCCCGCAGAGCCAAGGGAACAGCAGGACACGGGCCCGGGCGTTAAACGCACCCCTCATCCGCTGCAGTGGGACAGTGGTGCTGAAGATGGGCCACCACCAAGCTGAGGTGCACATCTCCCAACACTGCCAGGACCCCAGTCCCAAACACTCAGACCCAGGGGCTTCCTAACATTTTCTATGCATTTGAAGAAAGAATCCACAGCAAAACTGGTGAAATGCATGGGATGAACTGCATTGGTCACATACTCACTGCTCCCTTCACAAAAGGTTTTGTTTCTACTCTTTGACACTTTTCAGAAGCTCAGAAAGTCATTTATAGAAAAAAAAAAAACCTCAGAACTCCAGAAGCACCCACATAATTGCCACAAGAGTCTTCCTTTCCCAGAGAACTCTGCTATCCCTTCCTTCTCTCGCTGTTAAATAGCAGACAGACAATATTTGGTATCAGGATTACAAACGCATTTTGCAGACCAACACAAGGGAGCTCTAGAACCCTCAGAGGAGAGGTGAAAGTGGTTCCTGCCCAGCAAGGGAAGGAATGCCTGCCTTCCCCTCCCAGAGGGATGGATGAACAGTCCCTCAAATCCCAATGGCCCAGCACACAGAAAGGCTACATGGCATCTTGGTGAGACTTTTCTACCATTGATCAGTTCTCTTTCATCCACTCACAGGGACTTTACAGCTTTGCCTGTGATCCTGAAGCAGGAGGAGCTGACGCTTTGCCAGATGAATGAGACAAAACCTAGTTCCAATGCAACACAGCAAACCTCTTTAGAAAACAGTTCTAATGAATTTAGATGAAATATAGAATATAAGCAAAACCCCAATCAGATATAATGTGGCCTGAAGAAGCTCCGGATTAGGAATCGTAAAGGTTAGCGGTCCCTGCTTATCTCGGCAAACCTCTACCCACCCTCCACCATCAGGGTGCACACTACTCATCACGCCACACTTCTATCCCTCTTGCCAATTGCAACTCCCAGCCCTGCGTGGCAGTTTATACGGTGTTGTGAGGCACTCTGGGTGTCACTGCCAGCGTCACCGAGTGACACAGCTACGTCCTCTCCATTAGACACCAGAGTGCCACTCCTCATCTATCGACCATTTCCTCCCATCTGATAGCAACGCGTTCAACAGAAGTGGCGAGCCATCACTACCGTACCAGCACCGTCACTACCACAACAATGCCAGCAAGATCCACTAAGGTCAGAAGACGTTAGCGCCATTATTTTAGATTCCAATGCTAGATCCTTTTTATCTCCCTCTCCGTCACAGCCTGTGAGGATGCTGGTGGGAGAGAGAAAATGGCCATATAGCTTGGGCAGAGGCTGTAGCATTAGAAACCCAAGGACCAGCTCCCAGCTCTGCCACTGGGGCTCTGCCATAATCATTTCACCCACCAGTGCCTCAGTTTCCCCATGTGTAAAATGAGGAGAATGATAATGACCTACCTCGGAGGGTGAGGTTTGCAGATGGGTTAGCGACCAGCACTACAGAAACACCCCCTACCAACAAACACCCCAGCATGGCACTGGAGCAACCGAGGGCACCGCATCCTCCCCTCACTGATCC